CCTACCGCTACTGGGCCTCTAAAAATGCCAACTTTTTGTCTTCTTCTGCTCGGCCTCCGGTACCCGACACTTCTACCACTACTTCAGTGGTACCGGCCTACCTGCTACTTGAGTGTTTTTCCCCTCTGCTCTAAGTGCCGTGGGCCTACCCCCACTACTCGAGTGTTTTCCCCCTGCAACCCTTCACAGTCATGGCCACAGGTAAGTTCCAGCCCTGCGGGGCCTTGCAACCAACAAGTACCCTTGCGGGTCACACACACACTCAACCGACAAGCACTCAGACAGGCATGCAAACCAGCAGGCACGCACACACACACAGACATGGAAATCACAGCAGAATGCGGGAATTTCAACAAGGCATTCATTCCAGCGGCAAATCCCAGAAATCAGCAGTGTTCTCAGTCTGTGTTTTTGGCGGGTCATTACAATATTCTGATCATAATAATACCAAGGGATAATTTGCGAAATACCCCCATAAGTTGAGATATATGCCAAAATGCCCCTGAAAGATGTGGGTGGAGAGCAGAATGCCTTTTGGGCCGAAATCTTTGTGTTATGCCCTGTCAGGCGGCGGGTGTGCAAATTTGCATTCTGGACCTCGCCGTTTGGGCCTTGGCCTTTTGCAACTGCACCTAGGAAAAGATGCCAAGTCCCAGGGTATTTTGCAAAGTTGGATGGTACCCGGTAGGGGTATATCGCAAAGATGGGGGGTCCAACTGACGCGAGGGGTATTTCACAAATTTTTTACTTTTTTTTTCAGAGGGGCATTCCACTCTACCCACATCTTTCAGGGGCATTTTGGCACACATCTCAACTTATGAGGGTATTTTGCAAGTTATCCCTAATATTACTACAACAAAAACTCTTGAAAAGAACAACACAAAGGAGTAGAAAAAGAAGAAGAAGAAGAAGAAGAGAAATTTGGTGGATTGAAGTGGATTCCACTGCAAAAGATATATGTTGGTGGTGGGGTTGTGAATGTGGCCCCCACACCTGCTCATCTGAAGCATTCAGTTCACAGAAGAGTTCAAAGGTTGAGTCCACCACAAAGCCCGGGCGCGCAGAGGGCCTGTCAATCTTGTTGACGACAACCACCACCTTGTGGCCGAGCTCCACGGCCTTCTTCAAGACAAACCTGGTCTGAGGCATCGGTCCCTCGACAGAGTCGACCTGGAAGGGGGGGGGAAAAAAAAAAAAGTTAAAAAACAAGCAACAACAGTTCTCGACGAGGAGCAGGAGTCAATCTAGATATACAGACCTAAAAATTAACAAGATACATTGTAAAAAAGTCCTTTTTTGTTTTTTAAGTCTTTTTTTTTTCATTATTGTTTGTTTCTTCTTTTTTGATGTGGAGCAGGAGTCAAACAATCTGTGTGCACCATCCTTATGTAAGAGGGCCATGCTACTCTTCTCTGTATCATTGCAATTTCCCTCTTTCGACGGATGTCCAGAAGGACATGAAACCGTCCATCAAAAAAGAAAAAAAGCACCTGAAACAACCGTCTTCACAAGCGTTGAATGCACGGTCCGTATCGCCACATCTAGACTGAAAGTTTGCCCAAACACAGCGATAATGACTGTGCGTCCTATTGAGGCGAAGACAGCATCTTAACGTGAGAACAATGTGAGGTACCAACAACAACAACAACAACAACAACACAAGAAGGAAGGTAACAGCACCGACTGCTTGTTGGTTTAGGGTTCAGTACATGTCGACACGATAACTCTCGTCTACAAAGTAATCCCCAACCAGTTTAGCCGCTCACACAGCGTCCGCCAAGCCATCCGCCAAACCATAACCAGTTAAAGCCATCTCACAAATTCAAGACATCACTCAAACCCATCCCGTCAAACCATCCACAATTCAAAACATCACACGGAACCATCAGTGAAACCATCCCTCGTTAAAAAGATAACTAATGCTTTTCAAAAAAAAAAAAAAATAGCGTTTTACAGCGGAGATGGTTGGCTTGGGCCTCCTGGCTGGTTGTGGACGTGATCGCAGTTCGCTTTCCATCCTGAGGATACGACGTTCTGAAAACGCCCTACCCCTTGGATGCAAGCAAAGTCCAGATACATCCAAGGGGTACGGCATTCTGAAAACGTCGTACCCCCTGGACTCCAGTTAAGTCCAGATACAGCGAAGGGGACCCTCAAGAGCTTGAAATTTCCACCTAAATCGGGCCAGTTTATGAGGTTTCAATTTCGTTCAAAAAATAAAATATGTCCATTTTGACATTTAGTTTGTAGAGGATGCTCATTTATTTGGTTCCCAAAGGAGACGGGCGGCAGGAGCAGCTGCACCCCTTCCACCCCTCCGCTTCACTCCCTCACCCCTCTCGACAAGAAGAAAGACAGGTTGGTATAGGTCGTTATAGCTGGGTATAGGTGGATATAGGTGGGGTATAGGTGGGTTGAATGAAAGCGGGTCTCACCAGGAGGAGAACACCATCCACCATGTTGAGCACACGCTCAACCTCTCCGCCAAAGTCTGAGTGTCCTGGGGTATCAATGATGTTTATCTTTACATTTTTAAACCGAATTGCGGTATTTTTGGACAAAATTGTAATTCCTCTCTCTCGCTCAAGGGCATTGGAGTCCATGATCCTCTCCTGCACCACTTGGTTCTCCCGAAAAACCTGCAACCCCCAAAAAAAAAGACGGAGAGACCCACCAAGGAACATACAACAAGCCACTTCAATAAAAGCCAAAAGAACCGCACGAACAACGAATCCGCGCCCTGCCCATGTGGCTGAATCATATTTAACGTCGTTCTTCTTTCTATGTTTTTTCTTTTAGGCCCAGACTTGAGCAGTGGGGGGTAAAGCACTTAAAGAGGCCATGCGGCTGAATCATACATGGCCCCAGCCTTGCAGAAAGAAACTTGTCGCCACCATCTTCCCCCTCCGCAACTTTCAGGGTGCGCGGCGTGTAAGGAGGGTCTTCTGAGCCCACCAGACTCCTCCGTCTCCAGCACCTTTCTTTCGCTCCTTTTTCTCCTCCTAGAGTGGGTAAGCCCCTCACCCCAATATTTGTTTTTTTTGGGAAAACTACCCTATACTATTCTCTCATTTTATCCTCCCCTACCTACCTATCTAATCCTTAGTCCATTTCATTTTTTCAATGAATATCTGTGAAGACAAGCCGGCCGGTCCTGAGAGTTATGGGTTGATCCGACCTCTGCTCGATGTGGGGAGCAGCTCCCAAGCTCCTCACACCTCGCGTAGGCTGGAAAGGCAGAGTGACTTTCCACAACCACCCAGGAGAGACGAGCCGACTTTCTCGGTCGGTGAGCGCGAAGTACACCACACAGAGGGTCGTGGGGAGTCAAACGGATGCCGTGGGTAATCGAACCCACGACCTCCTGTGTACCACTTACGTGCTCAACCAACTGAGCTAGGCCGCTTTGCCCCCTCACCCCCATATATTTTGTATCGGGTGAGACTCGAACTCTCAATCTGTTTATCAACATTCACATGCCGTGTGACAATTATATCATTTTATCTGGCATCAAAAACCCACACCGTGAACAAACAACACATATCGATCAGGTTAATACCCCCTTTAAAGAAACACACAAAAAAAAAAAAAAA